CACTTGCCTTGACATGTTTCTATAGACTCCAAAATTACACTTCACATGCTAACACAGACTCCAAAATTACACTTGACATGCTAACACAGACTTCAACAATTGCCTTGACATGTTTCTATAACCTCCAAAATTACACTTGACATGCTAACACAGACTTCAACAATTGCCTTAACATGTTATCATAGACTCCCAAATTACACTTGACATGCTAACACAGACTCCAACAATTGCACTTGACATGCTAACACAGACTTCAACAATTGCCTTAACATGTTATCATAGACTCCCAAATTACACTTGACATGCTAACACAGACTCCAACAATTGCCTTGACATGTTATCATAGACTCCAACAAATACACTTGACATGTTAATACAGAATCCAACAGTTGCCTTGACATGTTATCATAGACTCCAATAAATACACTTGACATGTTAACACAGACTTCAACAATTACCTTTACATGTTAACACAGACTCTAACAATTATCTTGACATGTTAGCACAGACTCTAAGAATTATCTTGACATGTTAGCACAGACTCTAACAATTATCTTGACATGTTAATATCGATTCCAACAATTATCTTGACATGTTAGCACAGACTCTAACAATCATCTTGACATGTTAGCACAGACTCTAAGAATTATCTTGACATGTTAGCACAGACTCTAACAATTATTTTGACATGTTAACACAGACTCTAACAATTATCTTGACATGTTAACACAGACTCTAACAATTATCTTGACGTGTTAGCACAGACTCTAACAATTATTTTGACATGTTAACGCAGACTCTAACAATTATCTTGACATGTTAGCACAGACTCTAACAATTATTTTGACATGTTAACACAGACTCTAACAATCATCTTGACATGTTAGCACAGACTCTAACAATTATCTTGACATGTTAACACAGACTCTAACAATCATCTTGACGTGTTAGCACAGACTCTAACAATCATCTTGACATGTTAACACAGACTCTAACAATTATCTTGACATGTTAGCACAGACTCTAACAATTATTTTGACATGTTAGCACAGACTCTAACAATCATCTTGACATGTTTACACAGACTCTAACAATTACGCATAGATCTTATTCATAAACTTAAAACTTACAGGAGATAGAATTTACTTAGAAGGTAAAAGTTGTAGTTTGCTGATGTAATAAAAAAAAGGGTTGGAAAGTCTCAAAAGTAAAACGATTTCCCAAGAATTCTTAAAAAATACGATATTCTCTAACCCGAGCGATTTCGAAAGGTGGACCTTTCTTCTTCAGGGAAAAAAACTAAGAACTTAGATAAATTGACTTCAAGAAGAAAATCACAAAAAGGTGTTTTGTGAGAGACTTTGTACTTGATAGTTTATTTTTACTAAAAACAACAGCATACAGTTTTAGTATTTTTAATACATCGAAAGCTTTTTATTTCTTTCCGACATTATTCCAGTTACAGAAACTGAATAGTCTTCAACTTTCAAATTACATACCTAAATATCTGAATAGTTTAACTATAAAACATGCACTAGGACCAAAAGACTGATAAATTAGATACATCAATAAACGAAATAGTATATTTATCAGAAAGAAGAAGAATGAATTATTAAAAGTTGTCCATTAGACAATACACACTTAATTCATTTGTGATATGAAGTTTGTATTTTGCCATATAAATAAATCAAAAACATTTTACTTTTTCGTGTTTGCTGTGTAATGATCATCAGAGAATGTTCACTCTTCAAGTTAGAAAATTCTAAACGCACACGACAGAAAGAGTTAGGACGTTTTGGCTGAGATGGTTCAATATGATTACTGCATGAGACAGCTGTTCGTTTTATATTTACATTGGTCAACTTGCCATTACAGTTACAAGGCCTTTGATGCTACATGTGATTTACCGAAGCTCAGTATTATGTGAAATTGAACACTTCAGTGGGCTGTGTTTCCTGATTATGGACCCAACTGGGTTCGTTTTGCAAAGGATGAAATTAGTAGGGCGACATCTACGTTACGTGTACACAAAAATAAAAATAAATACACAATTAAATATACATCAAGCTTAATCTCTGAGCTTCTACAGATCTCAAAGCTGTATGTTATTTATGAGACTTCAAGGAATAATACACAAACTTCTTTCTTTGCATTCAGTTTTCCTTTTTGTTTCTTTGTTGTTAAGCGCAAAGCTACACAATAGATTAGATATGGTGTGCCTACCATGGGTACCGAAACCCGGTTTTTAGAGTTATAAGCTTTGCCGCTGAGAGGCGCATTCAGCTTTTAGAAAATTATTCAATAAAGCATTGTTCGTTTAGATGCGCAGAAAAGTGAATTCAGTATAACAAACCGAAGAAATATACGCAACTATTGTTACTTCGATGAATTTCTTTTCTTAGTTTCGTCAAACTTCAAGATAGTAATTTACCGTTTGAATAAGTTAAACATGGTTTGATAGTTTCGAATAAGAGATTGGCTCATTTAATAATGCGAGTTTATAAAATTGGTTGCTTGTTTTCGGATATTCGCGTATATCTATACTCAAGGGTAACCTGCGCTATCCGTCTGTAATTTCGAACTGATAGATTAGAAGGAAGGCAGCTAGTAAACAATATCCACCGCCATGGCCTTAGCTGCCTATGAGGCCACTGAGGCCCTGCCCTCAGTTAAAATGTGAAATTAAATGTAACGTATTATTTAATTTTACACTCCTTGTAGAAAAAGTATACAATATGTAGAGCTGACCCTGCGTGCTTGTCGGTGTTTGGACCGCGGGTAAATTTTCACTCTAGCTACGACTATGTCCACCACCCATCCTCAGGCTGCTCATGTCTTACCGGATAATTGTACTGGACAGTCGCCCTGGGTTATTCATGTATTACTGGATAGTTGTATTGGACAGTCGCCCTGGGCTACTCATGTCTTACCGGATAGTTGTATTTGACCATCGCCATGGGCTATTCATGTATTACTGGATAGTTGTATTTGACCATCGCCCTGGGCTATTCATGTATTACTGGATAGTTGTATTGGACAGTTGCCCTGGGCTACTCATGTCTTACCGGATAGTTGTATTGGACAGTCGCCCTGGGCTATTCATGTATTACTGGATAGTTGTATTGGACAGTCGCCCTGGGCTACTCATGTCTTACCGGATAGTTGTATTGGACAGTCGCCCTGGGTTATTCATGTCTTACCGGATAGTTGTATTGGACAGTCGCCCTGTAACGCATCCAAAGCGCGGAGTGCAACTTTATTGTTTTTTTAGCGGTGACGGGACGTTAATGATAGACTCACAGATCAACAGTTCGACACGCTTAGCTCTAACTTATGTGAAGAACATGATAGGTTAGATATTTTCTGTAACATTTTCAGGGAGTGGAGCAAAACATGTATGTAGGGGATAAGCTTTTATAGTGTAAGTCAACAGACTAAAAGCATATGTATACTTAAACGCAAACACAAATTTTCAGTTTTAATAACAATCACTAAAAATATTTAGTTTAACTACGATGTTAAGTTTACATAATAACACGTGCAATCGTTTTGTGAAATGTAAGGGGGGCAAATTCTAGCCCCTTCCTGCGGGCGCAAACGTGGGGGGAAGCCTAGGTGGCATATAATATAGCGGTTTGAAACCAGTACGGTAACCTAACTGGGCGATATTATCGTCAATTTGTTTTTGTCAACAAATTTTAGAAACAAATATAATTTAAAGCCGTAAAAACTGTAATTAATTGGTCCGATTCTTCAAAAATAGACTGATAGATAGTTTGTTTGTTTTGGGTATTTGCGCAAAGCTACAAACGAATGGTGGGATTTGACCATCACTCTATAAATTACGACCCCAAAGTGACAACATGACGTGAACCTTAGACCCTTGGATTTACAGTACGACATTCTAAACATTAATCCTTATACGTTCTAATGTGATTCGTAGCCTTCTTGGTTAATCCAAATGTTATTTGGTTGTTCTTTATCATTTAGTAAATTTAGTTTCTTAATTACCCCCGACTTAACGTAATTTTGGCATTTTAATGTAAATCGGTTATAAGCATAATTTGAGAAAGTGTATTTATTTTAATTTAACTAGTAATTGTAGCGGCAAGTGCTGCTGATTGCCTTCCCAGTGGTCAGTAGTTTAAAATAATAGACGAATTGTACAAAAATCCTAGGTCTTTGGCCTAGCCGTTTAGCCCGCATGCGAATAAGAAGTCATCCAGATTGAAAATTATAATTCCTACTCCTAAATAGCCATACTGAACCATACGTTTGAAGAAAATTGCACGATTCAGAACTCTGATCACTGGAATAGGAGTGTTTTCTTAAATATACATTTGAACACATATCTTGTATATTTAAGAAAATAAACCTATTTATTTATCGATTTCTTATTTAAAATGCTTTCATATAATGCTTTGTACCTTTGACTTAAAGTAACTTGATTTATCAACTTTTTGCTAGAATTTTATAATACTAATTTAAAGTTTACTGTCGAATCATTGAATTACTTGGTAAAAAGAAAAAAAAAGAAAAAGAAAAATCAGATTGTACAGATCGAGTAAGGGCCAGTGGTCGCAGCTACGGCTTTTTTCATGGCCCACAGTTCTCTCCTACATGACGTCATCATGACGCTAAGTAGGAGTAGTGCGCCATTTTGAAAGTTTGCGGCTAACATGGGAAAGATCCAATGCCATCTATGAATTTTTATCAATGATACCTTTGTAATGTTTTGAAAAATATACTTGGGCTTTTTCATTATTATTTGCAACGATACATTTTGACAATCATGGCAGGTAATATAGATTATTTCTTGTTTCTCTTAATATCATTTAAATTTTAAGTTAATCGCATCCGGAAGAGGACTAAGTTACTTTTATTTTAACAAACATGGGTCATGGGCCTTTTTCTTTCGTTTTCCGAATAGTAGGGATTGAAGTTTGTGATTTTTTTTAAGTGTGTACAAACCTATACGCCATTTTACTCGTATCTTTTAGGAAATGGAGAGATACAATGGTGTTTTTCTCAGGTAAAAGGAACATCAGATGACGATGTAACCGAAGGTAAGTTAAATTTACTTTAGACATTTTTAGTTTTTATCGCCTGTATTGGTTAAGTTTAACTTGTGTACTAATAGTAATATTACTATTACTAGTATTAGTCTTACTAATACTATCAGAAGCACTGAGGATAATTGTAATAATGAATTATTAAGTTTATATGACTGGTTCAGTGTAACTTTTGTTTTTTATAATTTAAAGGATTTAAAGTTAACTCAGTTACTTTAATGTTAATTTTAACTTTAGTTTTATGCCTCAGCTGTTCTCTAACAAACTGTAGCATTATTATTACTACTACTCAGCATTAGTTTATTACTAATTTAAACGTTAGCTCAAGCTACAGATGTTAGGCCTACTACTACTAGTACTAAATGAATAAATCATTACAATTGAAATGTAGTCATAAGTGCATGTACTAAGCACTGAAAACAAAAGAAAATAATTAGGAGACTAAAAGGAAAAGGGTATATTTTTAGAAAAAATACAAAATATATTTTATAATGTTCTTTATTATTTTCATAATGGGAAGGGAGTGCATGTTTGTGTGGTGGCCTGGTAAGTTGTATTATTATGAACTTATCAATCAAGGTATTTATATGTGTATGAGGCTTAGAATCTCTCCGATTTCATTTCACAATTTAAATATTTTTCTGAATATCCCCCTTGATCAATCTTGCTCTTATTTTCAACAGTATTTGCACGGCAGTGAACATAGAATAAGAAAAAAATTGTAGGCCAGTTTTTATAATATCAGTGGCAGAACCCATCCAGCTTTAATTCAACCAGTGTTAAATATTTAATACTTATTTGGTTAAGATATCATCAAAATTCTTGAATTTGTCCTGCGAGTTGCTTGACTCTTGACCAAAAAAAAAAAAATAACCCAAGAAAAAATTAGTTGTTAACACTTTTCTTTTCAGTCACATCATTTCCTTCCTCTGCTGTCCTTTTCAATGTTTTTTTAAATATATTTATAGAAAAATGATGAAAAACATAGTAAAATATATTTTATGTTATCTTTATGAACTTTATTCTCTCCTAAATTTTTTTTTCTGTTTGACTCATCATGACTTTTATAACTAACTTGTTTATGTTTGCATTATTAACATCTTGTTTTTTTTTGTTAAGAATACAGATTGTGCTAAGTTCTCCATTATTACAAATATTGAAATTGTACCAAATTTCTACACTGCAGGACTGGGACAAAATGAAACTGGATTAATTAATATCTACGTAGAATTATGTTCTAGGTTATTTGCTATTTCTCATTAATAACTGATAAAGGACTCTTTGGTGATCTGGGCTAACTACTGACAGTAAGGTTATGTATGTTAGTTATAACATTATTTTTATAGCTTAGCAGGGATAGCTGTAGGTGAAGATGAAGAAGAAAAGGATGTGGGTATAACTTTTACAAAGTCTCTTAAGCCTTCTAGGAAATGTACATTAGTTAGCCTAACAATAGGATTTTTGGTTGTATATTTAAGTACTGAGTTTAAGTCAGTATCTATAGAAATGTTGATTACAAGACTAAAGACGTTATAATTTCATTCTGTTTAGGCCACATTGGGAGTATTGTGTTCAGTCTTGGGCTCCTTACTTTAAGAAGGACATTGAACTGTTGGAAAGGGTTCAGATGAGGGTTACTAGTATGGTGCATGGGATAGAGGGATTATCATATGAGGAGAGGTTAAAGTATCTCGCATTGTTTTCTCTTGAAAAAAGAAGAGTTACAGGGGGATCTGATTGAGATGTTTAAGATTGTAAAGGGAATTGATAGTGTTGATGATTCATCTTTTTTCATATTTAAAAGTGAGAATACTAGGACTAGGGGACACAAATATGAACTTTGGCAAGGTAGGAGTCATCTTCAGCTAAGACAGTTTTATTTTTCCAACAGGGTGGTTGGCCTTTGGAATGGGTTTCCTTTGGATGTAGAGGCAGTAAATCTAAGTGAGTTTAAGAGAAAGCTTGATAATTATGTGAATGATAAAGACTGGCTTTATAATTTTTTATAATAGTTTTAGTTTAGTTTAGAGGGTGGGACAGCCAAGATGGGCCAATAGGTCCCATTAGACCTCATTTGGAGTACTGTTTTGTCACCTTATTTAAGAAAGTGTGTTCAGATGATTCAGAGAAGAGCTACTAGGATTATTCCAGATTTGGAGGTGTTATTTTATCGGGACAGATAGTAATCTTTTGACATGTTTTTACTGCAGAGAAGGGCTTGGGGAGACAAGGCTAAGTTTTTAAGATTGTTAGAGGTTGGGAATCCATAACTCAAGATGACATTTTAAATATTTGCTGGCAGTAATGCTAGATGATGTAAGTTTAAGATATATATGGAAAACTCGGACACAGTCACGGTTAGGTGGTGTTACTTTTCGATTAAAATAGCCACCATATGGGATAGTTTGATTTAGATCTAGTAGAAGCTCCAACATTGAAGGTATTAAACTCTGTTTTTTAGTTGGTAAGAATAATGCTCCGTAGTTTTGATGTCTGATTTTTAGTTGGTAAGAATGATGCTCCGTAGACTTGGTGTCTGACTTTTAGTTGGTAAGAATGATCCTCTGTAGACTTGGTGTCTGACTTTTAGTTGGTAAGAATGATGCTCTGTAGACTTGGTGTCTGACTTTTAGTTGGTAAGAATGATCCTCTGTAGACTTAGTGTCTGACTTTTAGTTGGTAAGAATGATGCTCCGTAGACTTGGTGTCTGACTTTTAGTTGGTAAGAATGATGCTCTGTAGACTTGGTGTCTGACTTTTAGTTTGTAAGAATGATGCTCTGTAGACTTGGTGTACTTAGATTTAGAAAAAGTTTTTGATGAGGTGCCACATAAAAGATTAGGTAGGAAAATCACATCGGTAGGGTTTAGGGAAAGTCTTGTTAATGCAAGAAAACAAAAGGTTGTTATTGACAAAGTCTAGTCAAACTGGACCCTTGTTACTAGTGGAGTACCATCAAACTGGACTCTTATTACTAGTGAAATACCTTAAAGGTTAGTGCTAGAGCCTTTGTTTGTTTTTTCTTATTTATATTAGTGATATTGCTACAGGTATAATTAGTGTAGTGTACTCATTACATTCAACTTTTGGGTGTTTATACTTGTTTTGAAGATTTAAGGTATTATGAAATGATTTGAATCAGTTGGTAAGTTTGACAGATGTTTGTCAAATGACCTTTAATTACAATAAGTGTAAAGATTGGTATTGTTAAACCAGTTGGTGTACATGTAAAGATTGATATTGTTAAACCAGTTGGTATACAAGTTTGGTATTGTTAAATCAGTTGGTATACAAGTAAAATTTGGTATTGTTAAACCAGTTGGTATACATGTAAAGATTGATATTGTTAAACCAGTTGGTATACAAGATTGGTATTGTTAAACCAGTTGGTATACAAGATTGATATTGTTAAACCAGTTGGTATACAAGATTGGTATTGTTAAACCAGTTGGTATTCAAGTAAAGATTGGTATTGTTAAACCAGTTGGTATACAAGATTGGTATTGTTAAACCAGTTGGTATTGATTAATTTCTAAATTTTCTTGCAGAGTGGGTGATTAAAATTGTATCAAATATACAACATTTACAACTACAGAAACTTTCGTCACGTCTCTGTCTGACAATTTATAGTGTACATCAGAAACATTGACCCTTGTAGTTGTGTAGTTCATAAGCAACATTTCTATACTATATTTGCTGACAGTTATTTTAATTTCCAGCTGATATTGTATCCTGTGTTGAATTCAACCACAATGGAGAGCTACTTGCTACTGGAGATAAAGGAGGAAGAGTTGTTATTTTCCAGCGAGATTCGGAGGTAGCATGAGATTATCAACGTGTAGTTAGAATATAAGTAGTAATATAGGTGGTGGGCAGTTTTTCTATCATCTTTTTTAGCCATATTTAACTTTCGTTTGTGAACATCTGTTACTTGATTAACCCAATAGAACAAAAAATAAATAATGTTCTTTATTACATTAATTAATTAAACATATGTTGCTTTGAGTGATTAATTAAAGCTTTAATATTTATAGTGAGATATAGTTTATTTACATTTGTCCCACAAATTAAGACCCATCAAAATATTAGTAGTTATCTGATATTGTCATAATATGTGTGTATATAATAATTAAACGTGTAGATTTTAACAGCAAACTAAGACTAAATTTTACGCTAGTAGTTGAACCTGATGTCTAAGTTTCTTATGTCCTATCACCAATAAAGAAACGATTTGAATGTTGATCAGTAAAATAGTTGACTTGAACTGTATATTTGAGTGATTTCTCTGTCAGTCCAAACAGGCATTACCAAGAAGGGGTGAATACAGTGTCTACAGTACTTTCCAAAGTCATGAGGCAGAATTTGACTACCTAAAAAGCCTAGAGATAGAAGAGAAAATTAACAAGATAAGATGGCTTAAACGCAAAAATCCTTCTCATTTCCTGCTTTCAACAAATGGTCAGTTTCTCAGTCATTAGTGGTGAACACAATATTTATTTGAACTTGTTTGCTTGTTCATTAAAATATTCAGTTTCTCAGTCATTAGTGGTGAACACAATATTTATTTGAACTTGTTTGCTTGTTCATTAAAATA